GGAAACTGTTGATAATGCTTTTATATATGTATACATATGGTACTCGTACACAACACCTACCTACACCTTCTAGAGCTGTGAGGAGCAAATTGGGCGCCCAGGCAATTAATGAGTACGGAGGGCATCACATATGCACTGATGAGTTGGGAAGCAAGGATGATGACACTTGATCCATCTTTCCAGCCGCCCTCAGCTATCCCTGTGTGTCCCACGCCCTCTAGGTGCAATTACTCCTCACTGCTCTACAGGTCTAGCGTTGACAAAGAAAAGAAAATGGAGGATTTAATGAATTTGGACCTCAGGCTTATTCACAAACGAGTGAATATACTCGTTTGCCTAGAAGATAGCGTCGATCGTCACAGATTGATCCACGCTTTGCTCGGAGGAGCCATGTAAATAGATCTGCTAGGTTATGTTTGCGTGTCGTACCAGCTATAATAATCGAAGCGAGGAATTTGCAACGTTGTATGATACTATGCCTCGTGTCAGTACTTTGAGACGAGCAATAGACGAGGAAAGGTTTTTAGGAGTCTAATAATGTCCAGGTGGAATAATAACCTAATAATAACGATAATAATAAAAATAGTAATAATATAATACTACTAACGCTAATAATAGTAATAACTGATAAAATATTAATATGATACTATTGTACGGAAATACCCCGCCTATCTTTCTACTAAACAGAAAAGAAAAAAAGAAGTGAAAAAATTATTTTTTGAATTGTGTCGTCAAAGATGTCCTATGTAACCGTGTGTCTGTCTGTGGGATCATCCCGTGGAGATCAACCCTACGCCCTCTCTGAGACAAACCTTCGAACCTCCTCTCTGTAATATGTAATTGTAAACTGAACTCGTCGATGTTTATATCGGTAACCAAAAAAAAAAAGGAAATTAAAAAAAAAAATAAAGTGTAGAGATCGAGCTGTAACGATTTGGATCGAAGCCGAGTAAAAGGGGGAAATAAAGATACGTACGTATAAAAATAATAATTATAGAGAAATAGCGAGCCAACGTGCGAGCCATCTTGACCACGTTGTGTTCCAGGTTAGGTGGATTAATGAAAAAAAAAAAAGCAAAACATACATAATCATAATTAACTAGTACACTAGTTGACGAGGGATTTAGTAAACGGTTAAGATTTAAACAATGAACGACCCGCTGTACATATCCGTTGTGTATAGCCAGTGTATGCTGCAAACCCACGCAAAAAATAGTAGATTTCGCGTTCACCCTGTAAAAACAATGCATTTTTCTACCAGTGTGTAACGGAGGCTGATGGTCAAACGAATCGGCACTTTTTGTTTCGTCGGACACAGTAATGGTTGGTTAGTGGATGGAGATTATGTTCACTTGTAAGCACAGTCAGTTCTACTACTCCCTGAAGGGATTGCATAAGTACTAATGATCTATTAGAGTGGCAGACATCAGAATTATGTATATTTTACTTCGTAATTGTGAAATTCCTTTAGCCGCGTTAAAATATTAACTATTACCCTTGTAATTAAGAGAACTTTGGGTCGGTACACCTCAGGGCAATGTAAGCCTTCTTTGGTTGAGGATGAGGCTAGAGGGAGCAGTTAATTTTAGGAAAACCCGAAGAGTCTAAAGGATTATTTGAGAAATCTACATTGCACCTGAGAGTGTACAACCCACCAATAAATACTAATCAAGTCCTAGGCCTACATCCACTAATCAGACATTACTATAACTTTCATCCTCATCATTGACAACGATCTTTAGTTCCTCGAAACACTATAGTTCCATTTCTTTGTTCGATGAGACGGGAGCCCGGGGTGACACGAGGCATATCAGTCTGTGATCCACCATTTTCAATATCCCCATCACGAAGCTCATTGGTTCACATTCGTTCCTACTTTGAAGTCTTAAGCATCGAGCCATTGAAAGCCTCGGGCTCTGATCACCAAATCCTAATACCTTTTCATCGACCATTATGAAAGTACGAGAAACAGTGCTCGTTTGATTTGCCCGTTAACTAATCGTTACATCCGCCATCCGCCATGTGTAATAGAGTGTTCTAGATGCTCAGCATACGCGTGACACTTTCTGTTAGGTGTACTCGTTTAAAAAGGAATCAAAGGAGAGAGGAGAAGGAAACACGACAGAGAAATGATAAGGTCCTGTGTACTCGAGTTAACTTTACGCTTAGCGCATGGACACCTGTCCGCGAGACTGCGCCCAGAGAATTCTGTCCTAAAGAATATTTGCAAACTATGAAGGAATTTTCTAGACGAGGACTGCAGCCATTCTGTTGACTTTGTGGAGGGATAATAGGTGTTCATGACTCTGAAGATCTGAGGAACTGACCTGAAGTTCAGTGTACATTTAACAGGTAGCCAGGCCAGGCAGTGTATCTTCTTTGCCCCCGAGGGGTGACAGAGCCTACTGGCCAAAGCTACTGGCCCAATGCAAACTCGGCCTACCGTCAGGTACAGGGGGGGGGCTTCAACATTGGTATTCGACTTTGTTTATATAAGAATAGCAGAATTCTCATGGAAGCTTAATCTCGCGACAAGGTGGAAAGACTTTATAACTGTTACGCTCGACACGAATCTTCGCCGTCGACGGGCAACCGTCCGCTGTGACTCGGTTTAAGAGGGCGAACCGCGACTAAAAAAAAGCAATACTTCGTAACTATCGTGTATGTGTTTAAAAGGATCCAAATGTGTTTGGTGAGCGAGAGATAGATAGATAGAGAGAGAGAGAGCGAGAGAGCGAGCGCGTTAGGTGTTGAGCAGCGTGAGTGAACAGAGAGTGAGCGAAAGCTATTATAGTAAATTTAATATATAACAAATTGTGTTTAACGATAACTGAGGGGGAAGTTGTGCGCATTGTTTTTCTTTTGTTTTCGAGGACCTCGCGTGTTTTAAACTATGCCCGGGCAACTCATGCCCGGATGGTATGAATGTTGTTCTCTGGGGCAGGCGCGGGCAATTCGAACAAGAGCAGTGTTATTTAATCTGTTATAACCGAAAGCGATAGATCTGTGATCTTTTCATTCTCATTCTGTAAATTAAAGGCCTATTGGAAATTTGGCACATATTACATAAAAATAAGTTTTAAGAAAAATAATTTTTTAAAAATATTTTGATTGAAGTAATCTGAAGTAATTTTGATTCCAACATTCATGTCATCATTTGAAAGTGTACAATCGTGGTCCTTATAGTGGGGGCAGCCGAAGCCTGTCGGAACGAGCCGAAACTTAACGGCGCGAACCGAATTATGTCGAGTTCGTGCCACGTGTGACTTAAATGTAGGGATAGGGATCCTTAGACTTCTCCATAACGAAAAAAGTCATCTGTGCTAGCAGCTGTACCCTTGCAAACCAAAAAAGCACATATTCAGCTTTTGTCATATTGTACCCCTACTCAAGTATCTTAAACAACATTGCCCTTGTTTGGAAGAGATTGCTAGCTGGTCGTCGAATTGCTCAGACGCGGTACCGACACCCAGAGGCAATGTTCGTTCGCAACCAGTTGTCTAGTTGCGTTTCTTCTATTTTCCAAGTGACACAAAGAAAGTGTCTCTCCTTTCTGTACATAACTTCGTCATGGTTCGTCATTCATACGATGCGTTTTATTCCGTTAACATTGTCGACCAGTAATCGGAAACTGCGACTGGTTTTTCTATTGCTCATGAAAACAAATGGTCGGACATACGCGGCATCGATGTTGGCGATTTTTTAGGGTACCCGCAAGATAATTATAGCGCCCTTTATACTTTCGTATAAGACCCCAGGAAGTGATTCCTTCCGGACGAATAATAAAATCGAGAAGATGAAAATGGCTCGTTCGTCCGTTCTTCTGGTACTTTTTCGTTTCTTGTCCTTTCGTGAGAATTGTACATATTGATTATGCGAGCATTGTGTAAATATATTCGTCAACACAGAAACACACAAACAGCCACACAACACGCGCAAACTGTCCGCGCGAGGTTTTATTTTAAAGACTACATCATTATACAATGATACCATGTAATGATATTTAACGGATAAGGTAACATATTATTCTATACTCTTACACGCTAAGTACTCAATAAATATATCTATAAAATTCCCCCGTGTTTGTGATTGTCTGCCCTTTGACCCGTCCCGAGGAATCCTGTCGTTATTCGTGGCGTCTTGTCAAATTCTTTTTCTCTCTTCACACCTGTGTCGTCCAATCTGCCAGGCTCAGTGTGTTCGAACCTTGTCCATGTTTTGTTCATCTGTCTTGCCCATTGGTGTAATTAGGATGTTTTCTGAGGTCGGCCAGCTACCTTCGAAATTTTTCAAGTTTAAAACTCCGAAATTTTTGAATTGTGAAATTTTAGAAATTTGAGATTTTTAAACCCACTATGCCTCCCCCCCACCTAACTACGCCAATGGTCCTACCAATTCTTCCCAAAAAGTTAACGATAACGTAATGCTTTTAAGTGTATAAAACAGATATTTATATATATATATATGTCCAATTGTCTGGAAAAAGTACCTATGAATGCGTGATGTGATACAAGTTGTTTTTGCTAAAGGAATCATGATGAGAGATTAATTAAACTTTTAGTAACATTATTGACAGAATTGTTATCATTGATTTCTTTCTGAATGACTTTTCAATGCGTGCCCAACATAACAATCACATCCTCCCTTTCACCTTACTTGCCTCATCTTCGCAATAATTAAAACAACGTTTTATTGTTCTTTTTGTATGAAAAAAAAAAGATTGATCATACGTACGATTGATTGATCAGATCATTATACTAACGAATATCGACCTCTAGTCTTGTCTTATTCATGTGTCCAGTGGAATCATCCGTTATTCTGGAAAAATTATAAACAAAATGAAACGAAAGGTACCGAATCACTCGCTTGAGTAAATGAAGAGGTAAAGTTCTAACTTTTATACGATTTAAAAAAAAAAAAAAAAGATTCTAATTGTTAACAGTTCCTAACGATAGACTGTTTTATAAATTTTATTGATGAGAAATAAATTTTACATGAAGTTGGTATCTTTTTGTACATCATTTATTAGGGAACAATGTTTCTCGTGTCTGAAATTTTACAATTTCCAATATTTACAATGCTTCGACAAAAGGAATTATAAAACAATGTAAGATATGAAAATCTGATCGTTAAACGATCCAACCTTCAAGTCCTTTTGTACATTATTTTACAGTAGCAGAATATTTTTGCAGGGTCAGTTTTACTCTGCCCCCTCCGCAGTTATGCCACTATTTTGCTGTCACGTAGTGACAATACATTCTAATTTTTCATGCTTTGCTATTAGAACAAATTTAACGCTCCTTACAATGCACCCAAAAAAATTGAAAGATCTGCTGCTTCGATATTACTTTTAAACCTAATCTCCCTACTAAAATCTATAATATAATTGCTTTTCCGGAATGAAAATAAATATAAGGTACTACTTTCAGAAATCACAAATAATACAGTTCTATTGCTGAATATAATTCCTTTTCTTTGGATATCTTCTATTTGCCTCTCTGAAGATATTATTTAACAAGATATCTCTCTTTAAACATGACAGAGCATCTTATTGTTTAAATAAGAAATCAGTAATAGTGGTGAGCACGGGAATCAGTAAATTTTTTTTAAGATAAGTGAACTGCAAACTTAAATCGACTAGCTTTAACAAGGAAGCGGAATGATAAAAGAAATGGTAAATATGCTACGTTCCTACCATTCTCAATCAATTCAGGATATTTTTGCGGGTAGCGGACTAAGAGTTTGGGTTCGTTCAGAAAGTCGGCCCTAAGCAGGCGTTAATTAGAAAGAATACAAGTCGTGTGCCTTTGGAAAGCTCTCCATTTGTATTCACCTGAACAGAGAAAGTATTGGAAAAAAGAGAAGGAAAATTCGAAGAGGGTACAAAAGTTGAAATTTTGGATATTTGGGATTGAAGAAATCTGAAATTTTTTTATTTCGAAATACTATAATTTTGGATATCTGATGTTTTGAGATTTTTTACTTTTGAAATTATGAAATCCAACTTTGGTCAACTCCAACATTTATACATAGCAAGATACTTTCGTGACCTTCCCTCTCTCGCTCCCCGACTCTACCCGAAGTTCGAATAACCGAACATTAAATAATTTCAATACAAATTATCCGAATTAATCTTTTTTTCATAACTCAAAGCATTCATAGTGTACCTCTGAGGTTCCATAAAATATTCTGAACTGCTTTTCCTGCTACTGCTAATACTGCTCTTTTTCTTATTTTTAAATTTCAGTTAATTCGGATAACCGCATAGGAATTTAAATTAGAACACATTTATAGTCAATATCACATAGTCGTTTGAAAAACTTATTTTTTTTTTTTTTTTATGAAATCAGTAACAGTATGAAGATCTTCATACATATAGTAAAAAATGTTTCTTTGGAAGAATTATTATTAAGTATTACATAAGTCAGAATGGATAGCACTTCGTAAGTCGTAAGATCGTTCTGATCATATAAAATGTTTCAACACGGTGCAACACTAATTTTGCGTTTGATTAAAATTGGACTGGATTTCGTTGTTATAAATAACAAATGTAATAGCAACTGTTGCGTAGAAAAATACAAACAGATACTTGTTTGTTTACATAAATTAGTTTGACGAAAACACAATGGTGATGTAAGTGCAATTCAAATACCCTATTACTTACTCGAGGCCTAGGCCCCAATTGATACCTTGAACAAGAAACAAAATTAACGGTTGCCAGGCGATCGACCACCTGATCCAGTCTAGTAACTGACCGTACAAGACGTGAGGTCGTTCCCATCTTTACGCATTATTAAGGAATGTATAGTTCACTAAATAAAAGTAATATCAATTAAAAAGAAAGGATACGGATTGCAAAACATCTTCTTTAAATCCACTTTTTCTTTGCAATATGGACACGTCTGCTGCTTTCCTACGATGCACCATCCTCTAATACAAAATTCGTGGAACACGTGTTCACAACTAAGCTTGTATGTGTTCTCAATAACACCGGGTTCATTTTCTGACACTAAAAGTCTGTTTCCACATACAGCACACACACCAGGCTCTAAGGTCCTTGTTGGCATATGTCCTGGCACATAATACTGCAAATTGTTTAATTATTGCATATACGTACTGAGACATTTAATCAGTGGCGTAACTAGGATTTTTGGATAAGATGCGCTAAGGATTGTAAAAATTTTAAAATCCCGGAATATTTAAATTTTTGAATTCTAGAATCTTAAAATTTTAAAATAGTGAGAGAAATTCAATGGATTTAATTCTTATTGTATTTTTACATACCCCAACATGTGAAGCCATTTTATCCGCACAAATCTCTGCGACGTCTCTCCCTAATACTCCGAAATAAAGACCATAAAACAACAAAAGCATACCACAATCCATCCACACTTGAGGTTTCACTTCAAATACAAGATTTAAACCAAAAAATGTAGCTAACAATATAATGTAACTTATAATACCCAACACGTAACTTAGTTTATAAATAAAAAGAAACCATTTGTACACCAATCTATAAAAAACGAAATTCGGTAAAAAACATATAGAATACTATACATGTATTAATAATAGTAAACGTACCTTGGTGTTGTACCTGCTATAGGTTTTTGAACAGCCTTTCGTACTACTAATCCTGTTATACAGGATGATACTAACCAAAGAAATATAAACCTCCACCAACGATTTTTTAAACTTAATCCAAATGGAATAATCCACATGGCAACTAAGGTAATAAGCTAGAAAACACATTTTAATATAGGTTAATGTAAATTAATTAGATTATATATGGCATTCATTGCAACACCAGCCTAACTGGTGTAAAAAACACAGAAATTTTTTTGGCTACATGCTCCAGAATCATTCATCTATGAAACTACATTAGCTCAATTTGTGTCAGTTCTCTGAAATTATCAGGCTAAAATAATGAGGAATTAATTATGACATAATGAACTGCTAGTTACTCAAAAGTACTTTACAGTTAGGCTTATGTGGTATTAAATCCTTTATATATTTTCAAAAAGATCCATTTACCTGGTAGGATTTGTAATGTATTTTTTTCCATTCAACTATAATAATTTGTACCACTAATACAGTTACTAATAAAACAAGTAACATCTTTGCATGCATTGATTCGTGTCCATGGTGCTGTTTTTCGTATATGCTGCAAACAAAATATCAAACATTATTAAAGTAAGACTTTTCATTATGTAATTTAACAAAATGTTTCGTATAAAAAACATAATTTATTCCCAGTTACTTGTGCGCTTTAAGTAATATATTAATACTTACTTCCATTTTTCTTCCACACTCAATTTATCTTCACTCTAGAACAGAAAATGAGACATCCATTTTCCTTAAAAAATACATGTAATGCAAATATAAAAAATACAATTTTTCATTTTCTCATTTACGCCATTAATAGTAATTTGCACAATAATCAAATATTCTTTAAAATATAGAAGCTTATGCTCTTTTTTAAATAATTCTCCTCAGAGGTTATATTTGCATATGCACGGTTTACATGTACATACATTAATTCCGTGAATATCACCAATGCGATTGCATTTTAAATAACATTATACCTTATTCTGAAGCGCGTGCGAGTGCATATTTAATAATAAACTAAATTGTCAGTTATAAACTAAATTTTAATAAATTGACATTATACAGCAGTTCTTCAGGGACAAAGTTCTATTCACATTCGTGTAAGCGGTATACAGCAATAAATATATTTTAGAGCAAAATGTTTTCTCAATCAGAAAATAAAAATGCTACAGATTTTACTTAATAAAAAAGTATTTTACAATTTACAATATTAATAATAATAGATGGATTTTCTAATTTTCCATGAACTTATTGTGTAGTGTGATAAATATTCGGTTCAAATTTTGCGCGAAACTCTAATTCGTCGTACATTCTTCGTCCAAGTGTGAATCAGTCTGTCGTTCTACCAATGGTCGCTGTTCGTGCATGTCGTGTTTGTTCGCGCGTCGTCGGTTTATAAACCACGCCCATCGTTGGGATCAGAGAGGGAAGCTGGTAATTCATTCTGCGAAGCAGCAATATGAGCGTTTGTACCGTTTCCTGAGAAAACGCGCGACGTGACGAGATTCCATAGCCGTAAAATCGCGCGTCGAAAGTGTCATCCGATCGCGCGCCGTTTACGGATTCAGTGAGTGGTACAGTGTCGTGATTGGTTTCGTTTCGTACACGTGGATACGATTTTTGGTTAGTTCCGGAGCATCGAAAGGATACACACCGCTCGTCGGTTCGTTTGCCTCGAGGAATTGCTTTCGGTGAGTAACAGAACAGACCGTACGAACATTTTTCTCTCGCCTGTCAAATTATACGACAACACATGTCTTGTGATTTTAAATGTCACCTAATTTGTAATTAAAAATACGTCAGGTTACGTATTCTCCTTCTAAGACATACCTACGGTAGCTAGTGGAATTCTTGTTTAACAGGTAGTATGGTTGCGTTGAAAAACTATTATTGATACACGGTACTGGCAGAGAAGCAGATACGAATTAGGTCGATAGGTTTTACCTTCGATTTCCACCTGATCGAATATCAAATTTATGAGAATGATTCACTAGCTTGTCATTTCTGTTATTCTGACTCGGTCGAATCATTGACCTTAATCGGTATTGATTTAATTAACTTTTCATTTTCTCGTAATTCAATCTATTAGGCAATGTATCAATTTACAGTCGTAGAAAATTGAGCGGGTTTATGGTTCGCACTGAATAAGTCAGGGAACTCGAAAAGAGCAAAATCCTCGTATAGCGCAATTGGATGTTGTATAAATTGGCGGCTACCCAAGTTTCCGTACTCTCACCACGTCTTGTCTCTACGCTAGCACATTCCTTGATAGTATACGTATGAACGTGCTGTCTTTCCGCATGATTTTGTGCAAACCACTTTTACCGACTGGCACATAAGTGCTTGGGCGTTCCATGTAAACAGATACCTACGAATAGTTTTAGGTTAACAGGAGGAATGCACGACAATGAACTCACTAATATAACTTAAACTTTGCGTAATAATACAGGACATCAAAATCCACAAGTCTGTAAAGTTGCATGACATAATTATTAAAAATAATTTTTAAAATTCGCACAAATTTGATTTATATTTAAATTAAATCTTTAGTCCATATAATTCGTGAGTTCAAATCTCGTAGTGTGTATAAATATATATTTTTTCCATTTTTATTATAACGCATATTTATAAAATTTTGTAATCGAAGTCAGCAATTACGGTTGTTGTCAAACATAACCTGTATGGAAATTTATAAATATTATATGTATTTATACATATATGAAAAAATGTATAAACGTGTATATTTTGTTTCCGTTTGGTGAAGAAATCATTAACGTGGCCGCAACGTTGTTCCGTTTCTTCATTGATCGAATTAACTCGGTCAATAATGGACGTATTTTTGTAATCGCATGATACCACAAAAGGTATATTATAATTGGTGTAAGAAGCGGAAGGTCATGGTCTGCATTCCCAACTTAAAATTTAAGAAGTTCACGTTCCTTTTTTTTTTTTTCAAATGGTCTAAAAAAATATTCTGAGATATTTATTACGATTTCTGTTATATCATCAATTGCTCACTTGATTATATCAAATAATATTTAAAACTTTTTTTTTTAAAATAAATCTGGGTCGACGACCCAGATTACTAATAGACGATTAATCTGAATGTAAAAGTAATTTTACTATTTATCAACGTCAGTGCAATTTTATCATTTGATTAATGCAGATCCATTAAATGGTAAAACTTCGAGCCATCTATCGATTAGAAATTTGAAAGCGATATTTATCTCCCGTATGAAAGTGAATATCGTGTGCTAGATACATTGAAACTATCTTTGCGGTTTACCTTTGTGGTAATTATAATTCTGCAAACGAGTCATGTTTATACATAGATATATTGCTGTATATTATAGTCACTTATTTATTATATTTACATGAATGTATCTAATTATTCACTGAATATTGATTAAACAGTTCCATGAAGATTAATGCAAAGATTTATATAGGGTGGTTTTGAATCGATAGTCTCTCTTTGCAATTTTATTTTATTGATAACATTGAATTTGTGTTTAAAGAGGCATAAAAGAATGCAATGATCTCTGTACGTTAGATTTTCACTTTTTATGGGTTTTATACGTAGCTGTAGAAAGAGAGAAGGTCGATTTCAACAGGTGGGCTTTCTAAGTTATAGGGGGAAAAGTAAATGAGATAGAACGCATTAGGTACAGATACATCGACGATCGTAAATAAAATTTTATCTAACATCGGTAATTACATTAATAGTAAGTACTACTTGGTATCGAATGTACCAGCTTTAATATCTAAAAAATTAGTTTCTTGACGTCACTACATTTATTTTCTTATGATTGGATAAAAATCAGATCATACTTTTTTTGTGGCAGAAAAAAAAATTGTCGAAAATTAAAAGGCATTCATTATTTCTCGTAACCGTATGATAACTACTTCGTGTGACATTAATTCAGAGACACGATGCACATGATTGAATCACGTAACCAGCATTAACTATCCGAAAGGACGTTACGTGAGTAATGTCGAGTACAATGGTGAAACGGAACCAGATAATATGCACACGGGTGCATATTAGACCCCTACCCGAAGACGCCTACGGGTAGGGGGTGAGAACTAGGGTCACCATTTTTTTCTTTTTTCTTTTTTTGGAAAATCATGATTTGATCGTAAATAATAATTAAATTCCCCGTTGTCACTATATTCAAAAGTATATTTACATTTGATAATATACTAAATGCTCAATTCATTTTTTATTGGACAGGGGAATTACGTTTTCAATGGGTGAGCACATGCACGTGTGCAAAGGGAAAGGCAATGCGCAAGCAATAAATCTACATTGCTCCTATTATGCAATGACTCACGCTTTTCATCTCGTCACTTTTGTAAATAAATAAATCACGACCAATTGAAAACAAAAGTGACTTGATTTTAAATTTCTCTACAAAGAGTGTCTTGATTCGAGAATGTTGAAGGTGAATGATTTGGATGATACGTTGTTTTGAATGGAAAGTAGCCAATGGTGCCGGTGACTAGCGGTTGGCATTTAATGACTTCATAGGTGCTAATCGTTCGAATGTTCCGCATTCCTCAAATTATTGCTTCATTGTCTTATACGCGTGTAATATAATTTTAGGAATTTTTTTTCATAATTACAAATAACATTTTGTGGGATGTTAATTTTGGGGGGCATTGATGATGCTGCAAATTTAGTTTAATTAAACAGTGGATGAAAATGAAGTATTTCGTGCGATAACTAGGTATGTAGAGCTCAGGGTGGTGAGAAATAAAAATTCATTGTTGAAACAAGAAATTTATCAATTGATTCGTGTTTTAACTTTGCCCCGAGTCTAGTTTGCGAAGTGAATAGCGTTGGTGTAACCAAAGCGAGGGCAATCAGATCGATGCAATGAAACCATAAATCTGTGGAAACGATGACACGTCATTCCAAAGACGGTACGTGCATACCGTGGGACGAAAGTAGGTTATCTGAATGGAACAGTGTACCGTGGCACTTCGATTTTCTCTTGCAATTCTTCCTTTTCTTAATCCATCTGGCGCTCTCTCTGAAAAGAAGCAGCGTATCGAAACCGGCATCGATGTGTAAAATTACACCTTACTAGGAACCTGTCGTTATCCAATCTATAATTACGAATAATTCTGATACATTTCGCGAAAGCTTGAACACTGTCGTGATACGAGCTTAACTCTCGGACAAAAACAATTTGAATTTTAGTTCGGACTCTGTTTCGCTTTGATTTTTTAAATTTTATGCTATTTAATAATATTGGAAATAGAATTATAGGAAGTTTTTTTTGGAGGTACTTTTATCTGAAGGGGCCCTTTTTTGGAGCTCGCCTCGGATCACCTCTAAATCTCAGGGCCGGCCCTGAGTATACCGTAATAAGCGGAAAGATGATGTACGGTGCATCAGCGTAATAAGACTCGATCCATGGACAAATTATACAAAAATTACGCGCAATGTCCGTACGAAACACAACCTGCGAGCGGTGAAACTTAACGGCGCGTATATCCGCGAAAATCGAATATGGAAGACTAAATTGAATTAATATTTAATTAGCACCCGACATGGCTATGAAAAAATTGCCCTATGATCAAATTACTGTCAAAATATTAAATAAATAAGTTATCGAAGATGAATCGATCTTTATCTTGATTTAATCATCATTGAAAAATAAAATTTCTCTTGCATTTTAATTAATGTCATTCACGCAAGTTAATAATTACAATGATTTTTCTATTATTATCCACTGATTAGATTCAAACAATCAAGATATCTATCACGCACTCGCGAAGCTGATTCTCAGAAGAGAATCACTGATGCACGCAACTTTTTAATTAGTCTCTTCTCTCCTCGTATTTTACAGTTCTATAAAAAAAAAATATGCGTTACGCAGAGCCGTTTTTATCAGATACACATATAACCATAACTCTTTGCGGGCTGACACATCCTGCGGTTGCAAGCAAAATATTTCATTAAGTGCGTGCGTTAAATTGGAAACGAAACAATAATGGAAAAGTGTTTCCAAAAAGATAATTGATTTCGTAATTTTTTTGTTACACGGTTATGTGTACAGCGATGATGAAATCAGAGAAACCGAAAGAAAGGGAAACAATGGCTAATGAAA